TTAAATTAAGTAGTATCACTATGTTCTACTTAATCTGAAGTTTTCATACATTTTTGACCCTTCCTTTTAAAAATTAAAAACAGGAAACAATCACACAATTCATTGACCTAATAGTACAAAATTTAGTATCCTTCAAGTAAATTCAGCAGTTTGACCATGACAAGAGGAAAACTAAACATTTAAAAACCTAGCATGAGAAGATGACATACAAGTAACTAAAGTAAAAGTATTGCTATAATCACAGCACCAAGTTACACATCTAAGTGAATCAGCTATCCTCTTCAGATTCCCTGTACATAAAAAGGATACATTTAAAACACTGCAATTGCCCATTATGGATTTTTGGTTGGTTTGTCTGAAGAAAAAGTATGGCAGAAGACAAAGAATTTATCACAGTTTGTTATAAGAATTGTGCTTATAGGCAATATAATTTCTTCATATGGTTGCAATTCAGTTATCTTCATGCTGACTTTCAAAACGCAATTCTTTTAATAAACGGTAACAAGTTCTCCATTTAAATGTTTAAACTGAGAGAAATATAAGTAAGTCCAGCTTTTAAAAGAAAAGTTCAATAAATAGCTATTTTACATGGATAAAGTCATAGTGGTACAAATTTATGAATGTCACATCAAGCATGCACAAAAATGTTACTATACACAGAAGTAGTCCGAAAATATTGAAATAGATATCTAAAAAGATATGAAGAATTTACATATTTACAAAATCTTGCAAATTATTGCCTCATTTTAACAAGGAATTGAAAGTCAACAATACCAGCTAGCTAGCCAACAGGCTAAATGAGATCAGCATTTAAAAGTCTATTAGACTAGCTGGAATTCATTCTTCTATCATCATTTTCTGAATTTTGGTCAAAAGTCTTTATTTAATAACTAAAGTGTCCATTCAACTTGCTGACAACCCAAACCTTAGACAAGTCTCTGTCTACATTAAGAGCCCAGCAATGCATAGATAAATTGAATATATTACTGCATCAGCTAATGAGAATGGGCATGTTCATTTAAGTGCAACTGGTATAAGCATTCAGTCATTTTTGTATAATAATTTTTATACAGACCAGCCACTCACTGTAAACCCATAAAACTTGAATGTATAACAATGAAGGATGATGGGCCAGTATTTTACTATATTACATAAAATGTGCTGATTCATAAACAAAAGAAACAAGGTACACAGTTCAGCACAAAACACAGCAACAAGAAGCTGACAACTTGGCTAAAAATGTCAGAGACCAAGGCTACCCATTATTTACTGTGTACTTACTAGAATTACATATTTCAGATGTATAAGTTAAGAACTGATTACAAAATTATCTTTATTTTTGTCCACTGTGCTAAACTAATTTGTTTTATTATGGTAAATGTGCTACTGCATAAATGCTTCAAAGCAATCTTCATTACAATGCTGTAAAGAAAACTCCATACATTGCATCCAAAACTCAGGATATCAATGCAGTTCACAGTATGCATAATACCCTCTTCCCTTTCAAATGTTAAAGTCACTACTTTCTAATTGCTCAGCATAACCTTAAAGCAACTATTACAAATATCAACAATGCAAGCTTAATCACTTCAATAATGAAAACAAGTTAGTGGCAATTACATTTCTAATACAAACAGTGCAAAGAAAAAGTATGGAGGGAAAGGGGTAGTTCTACCGAAGTAATGTTCTCCCACAAGAATTAGAACAAACATTTGCAAGACAAACTTCATGGATGGCTAAATTGCACTCAATGTTCAAAATAAAAATTTACTGAAGTTAAATAGTTACTTTTATGGGAAACATTTTTGGTCCTTTCCTATTTGACCAAAGTAGTGAAGTGCCATTTTTGAGCCAATGACTTGCCAAAACAAATAAATGCAATCCACACTGAAGAAAAACTTTTAAATACATACTTTGAGGTTCTACTACTTCTATATAAATTAGGTAGTCCCTTAAAACTGTAACTTTGAACTGCAATGCTCCAAACAATTTATGATGTCTTCCAAAATGCAGACTGTTTAGCAGTAAATCCTAAGCTGTGCAGACTGTAGCTTTATACATCAGCTGCCTTAGGAAAGTTGTTAGTTACACAGGTGCATTAATCTTCAAAGTTGTGGACAGAACTCATCTGAATACAATAGCCTAAAATGCATCTGTTTAAGCCAGTAAGTTTAAAGTACACAGATACGTCTGGCAGCATAATTACTTCTGTGTAAGGTAGCCATGGCCTATAATTTTGCAACAGCATCCAAGTGTAGGTCTTCATACTTTACTCGTGTTAAGTCCCTTGTGCTAGCTTCCACCAAGATGAACTTGCTGTTTTTTAAACTGAAGTGCTCTAGTTTAGTATCACATGAGAGAAGGTTCCATTTAGAAAACATCCTTGTATGTTTGTGCAGTTTAAGTTAAACCCATCCCTGACTTCATAAGAAAGAAAAAAAAAAAGCTACAATGAGCAAGGATCAGGATTGGTACCTGTAAACATTGTTATTACACTGCATCCGTTATGGCAAAAAGTAACTTAGACTAAAAAGCCACTCCAATCAGTTCAGAACTTCTGTGCTGGTCTTGAAATGGTGGCCTCTGTCTACAGGCTTTAAAAAAAAAGAAATTGAAGCTGCACCACAGAGTTCTCTTAGTCACAAACTCTGCTGAACATTTCCACATTTATGGACTGGAAAAAAAAAAGAGATTACTCTTGATAAATCAAGATATAGTTCTATACATAAAGACATCACTGATGTCAAAGTTCAAACTTCCAGTGAAAGACTAAGCAAACTTGATAGCTCCCATCAAGTTTACTACTACTGCATAAAGTACCCACTGTTTGTTTAGTTTTACACAGTCATTCTGAGTGAAGGGCAGTATGTTGGTGAAGAGCATGGGTGTTGATAAAATCATTTGTCTCATTTGCAGATAGACTGCTGAAGTCAGCCACTGAAACAGCCATTTTGGCACTGGTAATATGGTGTGTGTGGTTCTCAAAGTCCACACCAAGGTTATTTACAGAGACATCATTCATGAAAGATTCTGGGACAGCAATTCCCATTTTCAATCTCTTCACAGGTCTTTCTGTCTCCTCACTGCACATGTTCATTTGGTTTAGCTCTGAATGATAAAAGCCAGTCTCAAATAAATTAAAACAATCACTTTCACCATTGCTAGGCAAGTTAAGCAATTCTTCTGTTCCAACAGGCACATGATTAACTGGTGCTCGGGGTAAACTGTCCATAGGAGGAAAGGCATCATCCGGGCAGTTCACATCTGAATTGTGGCAGACTGTAGCTACACTGTTTGTCAATGCTGGAAAAAAAGATGAACACAAAATGTAAATGAAATAGTTGTTTATATAGTTACAAAGTTCTTTTCTGTTTTGTTTTTGGTTGGTTTTGTGTTGTTTTTTTTTTCCTCTTGATTTACCTGTCAACTCATTAGCAGTGATAGAGTTCAGAATGCTTAGCTGTTGATCAGGATTGGTTTCTGTTCGAGTATTAGATGTTAAGGCTGAAGAATGCACTGCTCCACCAAGGGCTTCTGCTTCATCTACCAAACGATCCATGTAGTCCCTTAAAGAATATGGCATTCATAATGGGTTATTTAACAGGAAAACAATGCCTAAAAACGATGGATTTAATTTCAGTTGCCATAGCCACTGCAACATTACACTGCAATGATGGGAAGAAAAAAATAATCTTCTACATTTACAATTTGCAACAGAAAACATATTCCAAGAACATTTTACTTACGTAACACCTGGATGATGGTTATATCTCTTCTTTCCAAATCTTGTTTGCTGAGCAAAGTAATCATAACGTTCTGACTTTTTCCACATGTAATAGAAAGCCACACACTCAGCAACTGTTCTGGTTCTTACCTAAAAGAAGGCAGGAAGAATTGACAAGATTAATGCAAAGAATTATGTTTTGTCATCTCCCCAGTCCCCATATTCCTGCAATATTGTTAGTTTTACTGTTCTAGTATCTGGAACAAACCAATTAAATCGGGAGACTTGAAGAGAGATATACAGTTTCAAATTTCTTTACAGAGAGGGTGGTCAAACACTGGAACAGGCTTCCTAGAGAGGTGGTTGATGCCCCAAGTCTGTCAGTGTTTGAGGCATTTGGACAATGCCCTGACATGCTCTAACTTTTGGTCAGCCCTGAAGTGGTCAGGCAGTTGGACTAGATGATCGTTGTAGGTCCCTTCCAACTGAAATATTCTATTTATTCTAAATAAGTATTAGATCTGTTGTATTGTATGCATTATTGTTGTTGGTTTGTTGGGGGTTTTTTTGTGGTGGTTTTTTGGGGGTTTTTTGTTTTTAAACTAGATTGAAACTGTACCTACATCTGAAACATTTCAGTTCAGAACCTATATAATGATTTTTTTTTAAACTATAAGACAGTCTCTCTCTTAAGATGGAAAAAGCTGAGCAAATCAGTGACCTAAGAGAAGTGAAGCAGAAAAGAGTTTGGGTACTTAGACAAATTCCAGTTCGTAGTGACAGATCAATCAACTCACATGCTTTACTACATGTTGGAAAAAAATATTTTAAAAATTATTTCTTTGTATCTCTGGTGAATTACTGTTTATTGGTAAGGTCCATTTAAAATTTGAACCACCCAAATATTTCTCATAGGACAGGTTAAACCAAGTGTTGAGCAGGACTATCTGACTGTTGTTGAACAGCAACCACAACCCTATAAAGTTTAGCTGAAATACAACAAAAACACCAGTCTCCTAAAGAAAAAACTTGTTGTGGTTTTAACCCTGGCCAGCAACTAAGCACCACACAGCTGCTTGCTCACTCCCCCTCAGTGGGATGGGGGGAGAACTGGAAGAGCAAAAGTGAGAAAACTCATGGGTTGAGATAAAGAGAATTTAATAATTAAAAAAACCCAAACCAA